ATATGTGGTCAGTGATGTTTTGAATGTAAAGAAGGACCACAGTGGTAAGTGTAGGATTGCTTTCGGCCTCATTGCTATTGGAAAGTTGTGGTGAAGTGTATTTTTTGATGGAACGCTTAACATCTTTAATGTGGAAATTATTAGAGAGAAGACCAGAGGTAAGGTGTTTTAATTCTGTTTTCAGTGACTCGGGCTGAGATAGTTTTACGGCTCTGTAAACAAGAGGTATCGGTCTGTGCGCGTAGGTTTTCTCTAAACACAATTACCCAATGTTAGGTCTGATTTTCTGTTGATAAAATTATCTAAGAATGGCAGGTTGTTATTAGTTTGCAACTCAATGGTAAAACGTATGTTAGGGTGTATCGAGTTTAAATGTCTAAGAAAATCTACTAGGGTTTCTTAACCATGAGGCCAAATAAGTTTCATCGACGTAGCGTTTCCATAATTTTGGTTTTAGATGAAAGGTGTCGAGAGCTTTCCTCTCAAAGGCTTCCATAAATATATTCGCGTTGACTGGTGGTGGTGAAGAACCCATAGCTGTTCCCGACGTTTGTTCAAAAACTTGACCGTTATATGAAAAACATGTTCCCGATAAGCATTTTTCAATTAAGGTGAGAAGATTTGGTAATGGGTTTTAATAAGCTAGATATTTTGCTAGAGAATATGTTGGAGAACCAATGGTGCTGACAATAGGTCGAAGTGGTAATCCTGGTTTGTGAATCTTTGGGAGTCCGTAGAGACGAGTAATTTTAGAGTCTTGAGGGGTAACAGATTTTTTCACGGAATCTGATAGAGAAGAAGCCTTAATAACAGATTTAAGGTTGCGATCCATAGATGCGTAGGATCTTTTTTAAGTTGACGATATGATCCGTCTGTAAGAATATCTTGAATATTTTCCCGATATTCATTTGTGTCCACGACTACCGTAGCATCTCCTTTATCTGCTTTTAGGATTACGATGTCTGGATTGGACCGACGCAGGAGGAATCCAGAAGTTTTGTAAAAAGTATTACAGGAGCCTGTGGAAGTTTCTTTGAAAAATTAACATTTTACTGGTATATCCAAGGCATTATATTACCAATGAAGGTTATGGGAATTTTACATAAACGCTTCTTACTGTGTGTGTGCGTGTGTTAAAGTTCTTACAAACATTAAATAACAGTGACGTACAAATCTGGAATTTCCAGAGCTGGGATTTTTATTACCCGTGTAATAGTTCCGTCGATTTTTCCGGATAGGTTTACGAGAATTCGGTAACATTAACCCCGTCAGGTAATGTATTCATTATCAATTCTCCTCGCGATCAAGGAGGATAACGGCCCAGACAACGTTCTTATTACGATAATCGCGGAAGGGACCATAATTTTCGCTACAAAACTGCGAGAATTTTATAACTATGCGGAGTAAAGTCGAAAATAACGACCCTCCTTCGAGCCGCAAAATGCATTTTCAGCGTTTATTGGCCCTTCGGCGATGCTAGGGGCTGCCGCCGAATGCGATGTGCCGTTTCCACGTTCGCTTGCATAAACCCATTGTGTGTTTATGGTACAAGTCCATTTTAGTTCGAATTTTGGATCGAAAACTGTCTACGTAATTTATCGCGAAATTAAAGCACCGTCAGTAGAGAAAACGGTTCGATTTTGGCTATATTTTTTTCGTGTCTGCGTTTTATTCGTCATTTTGTAATCGCGCGGCACAGATATAGTTAAAACATATATACAGGGTGTTCGAAAACTTGGAGGAAAGATTCAACGTGGCAAAATAATGGCAGTAAGTCATGTAACAAAAATTCGAAATAGTAATATTTTCCGAGTTATAGCTTGTCACAATTCATTTTTTGAAATTTTATTTTTAATCCAGTGGGCTTAATGCTCAACAGAATAAAATGGTATTTTACTCGCAGTCCTGATTTAGTAAAAGTCATCGTTACATAATAAAAGTTTTTCAAAAATCTATCATCAGAGGGCACTTTACCTGAACATTTTTTTAAGTTTCCCTGTATCTTATTTAGTTGGACTAGGTAGAACAGGTTGCCTTAAGAAGAATTACAAATCCTCAAAAATTGTTCCTCCTGTTTTAAGTCGCGATATAGCGAAATTGAAGGGACTGCTTTTTTTTTCGTTATAAAGAGTTATAGCACTTGAAAAATAACAATACGCATATGTATTCTGTAATATTTAATTATTTTATGTACATATTTTAACATCTACTTAGGAATATTTTATATAAATATTTAAGAACTACATTTGATGTTTCAAATAATCGGTCATTTTCTTTTAAATTTTGTTAGTATGCCAATATGCATCTAGAACTTTATCTTGTATTTTCACCATTTCTTCGAGAGGGGCATCTTCCCCATGATACATAAAAAAATTCTTTAGCAGCTTAACTGAATGTTGTTGTTGTTGTTGAATGGATGGTGGTGGTCCCAGATCAACTTCTTCATCTTCTTCTTCCTCTTGGTGCCCTGCCTCACCTTTTCTTGCTTGTTGTAATATGACTTCCTCTGTCAAGTCTGCTGTTATAGGCAAATCCTGATCTATCACCATAAAATCTTGCAACTCCTCGGTTGTAAACATCTGATCATCTTCCAACTCCTGTTCGCATTATGTCCCGGTAATAAGTCCTCCCGGATTAAAGCAAGTTTATCATCTAGAGTATTCAGTAACTCAAATTAGAACTGATTGAAACAATGGTGTGCTTTTATACATACCCATAAAGGCATTAACATAATCGCTTATTACGAGGAAAACACTTAGCGCGACCAGTTTCTCGGTAATTAGATTATGAGGGTAAGGAATTCTGAGAAGGTAAGAGACTCTATTAATTAGAACTCAGCCTACATTCCTTACTTTGTTACCTGATGTGCCCTTTTTTCTTTCAGTATAGAGAGTGATAAATTCGTTATACAGAGTGTATTAATACATAGCTTTGTATGGAGACCTAATAGTACAACAAATTTTGTTCGTAATACAGAGTTTTACGTTATAAAGAGTTCCGCTATAGGGAGTTTTCACGCAGTAGCCATGCAATTTTGTTTGCCGTCTATAAAGACGCGCGCTCCTCCTTCTGCAGAAAATTTGCAGCCAGTACCACTTTCCCCAACTAATGACAATGTCGGAGACGTTGCAGACATAGACATATCTTGTGCTAGTGACTGCATGGAAAATTCACTACCAGTGAAATCTACATAGGAATCTTAGACAGAACTATCATCCTGGAAGCCCACAGATTTTTCACAGTCTCAACCTGGTACTTCAAAACTACAAAATAATGACTTTTCACCCCGTACTCCATTCAATAGGAAATTCACATTCACCAAAAAGGGTCTTAAATCATCTGTCAAAACTTGGTGGTTTCCATGAAATATCAAAATGTGAATTATTTCTTACAGCGTAAATGCAGGAACACATTTTCGCATATTTGTGTTCATTTTTTCTATAAGGGGTTTATCCACCCGTGTGCGTGTAAAGTCTGTTCATAGATATAAGAAAGTGACTAATTGATATGAATTAAGGAAAGACCCGGGCAAGCTGTAAGAATGATATATGGCCGAACAGGTCCGTAATTTGTTTAGAATTTAATTATTTAAGGTTTTGTTATGAAAGATACTAAACAATATTTATTTATTTATGTAATCAGTATCACTATCGCTATCATCGCCTGTTCTAATTATTATTTGTTCTATATTATTTGCAATATGGATATACGATTTTTCTGCTTTTTCTATATGTTTAACAGAATTGGCCCAACTTTGTGGAGGGATGTTAAAAACTTCGGTTTCTATAAGTTTAAGGACATTGGAGTTAACACGGGAAAAAACATTGTTACGACGAATGACAGATTTCAGTTGATGCCAAACATGTTCATTGGGATTAAATATACATTTGTAAGGTGGAAGCCTTAAAACTGTATGCCCTAGGTTTTTTGCATAATTATCACAAACGTATTCCTTTTGTAGGTTCAAGCTTTGTAGAACCTTAATTAATTGCTTTTTGGTATAATCTTCGTGATAATAAATGTCGTTATTATACATGTAGTTTTGGATTGTTGCTTTGGTGTCACATGAGTAAGGGGTTCTAGTCAACTGTCTATTTAGAGCCAGCATAGAAAATATTATTCTTTTACCTCTTTTTGATGGCGCGTTTGTTTTACACTTATCAGTTGAGTTTACCCAACCCTTTTCCGGGGCATTATAAGTGCCGAACCAGGTTTCATCCAAGTAAATAATTGGCCTTTGTTGTTCTCTATAAATCTTAATTTTTTGTAGATATTCCACTCACCATTTCCGAATTCTAAAGGATTCTATTAAAACTTGGCTTTTGTCAATTTTTTTAAATCTAAAACCCATGTGTTGAATACACTTCCATAAGGTAGTTCTGCCACATTTAACACCGGTTTCATCTTTTTCAAGCCTCCTAATTAAGATATCTAATGCAGGCACGCTTTGTTCCTCGTACAACTGGTAAATTTTACTCCGTATTATATCTTGATCACTTTCATCTACACTCGAGAAAATGTCAGCATCGCTTCTTTTTTTCCTCGCTGAAATGGGGTTATTCACAATTTTCCATGCAGTTGATGTTGAAATTTTCATCAATGTGGCTGCCTCTGCTAAAGATGCTTGCTTGCTGGCACTACGTTCAATGAGAGTCAAATAAACATCTCCTGAGATACACTAGACTCGTACATATTTTGCATAATTCGCACACGATTCAACACACGCTGAATTACACACGAAATAAGAATGATTACTAATAAACTGAAACTAAGTAGTATACCAAACCAAAGAATATTAAACACAGGTCGGTGCAAAATTATTTTCTATTACGGACCACAATTTTACCTGAATTTAAATTCCGAAACTTTAGGTAATAATCTTGTTGCATTGTATGTTAATGACCACCCTTGGATTGGATTCAAAAGCAATTTGTCACTTTCTTATATATATGAACAGACCATACCTTGCATTATCTGCGGTATTGATAATAATCACTTACGTCTTCCTCGTCTCAGTCCGAATACATTTCAAATTAAGTTTCACTGCTGCAACAACTGATTTAATACTGGCCTAAGGATTCAATTAAACTCTGAAGTCGATATGGAATTGTTATTTTTAAAAGTTAAAAGTATTTCACTCACTCATGACTCATCAGACCTATAAAAGCAATTTCTTTTTAACTAATAAAATAACTTATGCAAATTAAGAAAACTCACATAAATTTAGTTGTTTTAGTAATTTTGGCATGCTGAATCTAAAATTAAAAATGTCAAATTTTAGCCAGAGACGTCACTTACGAGGAGCACAGGTAACAAAATCTAAAATATTTTTTTGTGGGTTGACTTTTAGACTTTGTTCGGGACAAAAGTACACACGGATTTCAAAAATATACTGTTTTATTCATTTTCAATTTCATTCGTTTTTTTAGACTTTTTAAACTTGTGTATATTAACCTTTTCTTGTCAGCTTCTAGATGCTCCTCTAACTGCTGGTTCTTCTGAGCTGGCAGCCATTAAAACTTTGTCGCCGTCGAAATTGAAAACCGAAAGATATTTTACGCTATCCGAAAGTTTGATCCCGTTTCAGAGTTTCGCTATAAAGTTTTCCTTACATGAAAATTAATACGACACTTTTTTATTTGAGATGTTGCCTTGGCAACTACTTCGGACCTCCGATAGGATTTCCGGGGTTTTGACAATCTCTCTGATCCCTAATATACTCAAAAAAAGTCATTTACAAGATGGCGGTTGACATTTGGCTAATGTGACAAAAAAAATGCCTTCTGAAAAAAGTATAGTGAAATTTTTCAAACTGGCCCGTGTAATGTTGTAATAACTATTAAAAAGAATGACCTATGGAGGTGGGGGAGAACTAATTATTAGGATTATGTTGAGAAAAAAAATTTAGAAAATATTTATAAATTGTGCCTTAACTGTCACAGATTATTCAATATTTCTTAGGTATCTGGAGGGTAGTTTAAATGTTAGTTTCTTTTCCTTGGCGATATAGCCCATATAGACAGCTAAAACTTTTGTATTTAAGGTTTTTAAGTATTGTACAGGGTGTTCGCGATATTTCGTGCAATATTAAAAAACATACATGCAGCTACCGAATTCAGACTTGGGAGAGAAGTAGAAGTCTGGCCCCGCATTTAGACTCTTTAAATTTAGGGCAATAAAATAACGCGAAGTTTTTTTTTTAATTTTTGATTTTTTTTTATTTGTTTTGGCATCCAGAAAAACATCTTTTCTTCCAAAACCATTCATCCGATCGGAAAAATTTTACAACCGTAATAGGTGGGAGACCCGGCGCTATAACTTTTGTTTCACGCATATTTTTTGATTATATACAAGGTGTTTTAGTTATGGACAAAAATCTAAAAGACCCTGAAAATTGTTCTTTTAGAGAGTAAATTATTAACCGTAAATCAAAATTCGTAAAAAAAATAGCTAATCCGTTCAAACAGTGTTATTGGCCGTATCAAGGGCTACAATTTTTGTATTTATGGTTTTCGTCTATCACATACGCTGTTCGACATATTTGAAAAAATCCAACTGAAAATCACCATTCACCTCGCCCTCAATCTAGACGCGATGACGTCATTTACTCTTACCACATTCTGTATGGTTTCAGAAAACAAGTAGTTTTTTGAAAACCATTTACTCCATTGGAAAAATTCGGATACCAGGATACTAAGGAGATCCAGGGCTATAGCCTCTATTTCGAACATTGTTGGAATTATATACAGGGTACGTAGTTTGTGGGCAAAAAATTCTAATAGGTCCTAGAAATTTCCGCTTTTGTGCGTGAATTATTGGCGATAAATGAAAAACTTATAAAGATGTGATAATTTGATATGAAGAGTATCGTAAACTGTCGAGAGATAGTTTAAGGTTTCGTCTATAGTACAGGGCACTCGAGATATTTGAAAAAATATAATTTTAAATTGCAATTACCAATACAAATTTTAATATTTACCGAAGTTTACCGTAACTTTGAAGTTCGACGAGATGACACTTTATACAGGGTGCATGCGCAATTAAATTACATCGATTTTGCGAAAGTTCCATAGCGGTCCGCAGGAGCACGATTTTAAAATAAAAAGCTGATTCGCGCTATTTGCCACGAACATGCCCGGCCCAGCGACGATTTTTCGAAAGTAATCTTGTTTTCCATGTACAAATTTATGCGCGGTCCTGTTGACAGCTTGCGACTTCTGTCTAATTTTAGAAAATAGAGTAGAAAATGATGCCTTCGTGTCTTCACGAATATCTATCGTTTTCCCACTACGTCCGGTAATCACTGGTTTCAGATGATGCAATAGATCAGATAACCCGTGTCTTATGCGGTCCTTTACCATTTCGTAAATGTCCTTTCTAGTATAAACTAGGAGAAGGAGCCTGAAACAAAGAAACATGTTTCAATTTTCTATACAAGGTATACTGTTGCAATTAGTATATCACATTTTGTGAAATCTATATTTGATTTTAAAACGAGAAAATCTTCGATTCTTGCTTTATTCTTTTATATAGAGGGTGTTTAACATTATTTTACAATTGAACCTGTGTACAAGGTTATGATTTAGTTAATAATTTTCTCAAAAGGAAAATGTCAGTAGATACCAGCAATTATATATCTGTGCATTATTTTCGTTATAATTTCAACGCAGTTTCTGTCAACTGTGGCTGCGGAACGGTCAAAAGTCATTCTGTTAGTTCAAATCCTAATACGTGCGGCATATACTGGCATATGTTACTTTTGGATCTAATTAATAAATTGGTTGGGTTCCATATCTCCAGAATACTATGAAATAACTAGAGTCCAAAATAATTTTCGGACGAAAACAAAAAGTAAAAGTTTCACTGCAATTCAGTTGAAAAGGCTCGTTTTTATATTCCTCTGGGGCGGGTCCTCGGGGGTGGAGAGACGACTAACAAGAAAAATGGCCTCGAATTTTTATTCCGAAAGAAGCGTGTCGGTGAAAGTTTTGCTGTCACGCGAAATTTGATAAGGCGAACGGAAACAAAGGGAGGACAATATTTTAGGGATCATCAAGGTTTCATTAAATTTTTAACGTCGTAGTAAATTTTGCGGATATTTTTAATTTGTTGCGCAACATAGCAATTGATTGAGTGGCGTACAATTAAGATTTTTATTAATATATACGACGTACAAGCTGTGCTATATATAACATATGCACATGAAGTACTGCTAACTTTTGGCACACGAAAACACTAAACAGTGTTGACATAACACACAGAATATCGATATAAATTCAACATTTCCCCTTTTTGTTTGTTTCGCATCATTATTTAAGATTAACTTAGGTATTACACTACAGTTTCATTTTTCTTAGCCCATTATTTTCTTTTAGACATAACAAATTTCTTAACTCTTTAAATCTGTTTGTGTCAAGTACTTTTGTGAACTCGTCTGCTTGCTGTTCCCTCGTTGCGATCTACGAGGTGTGTTCAAAAAGTTTGAGCAAAAACTATTTATTTATTTATCAAACTTAAAGTTGTACCTGTCACAGTAATTCCCCCAGACTTCCTCCAACTTTTTTTCCAATCATCGAAGCATTCCTGGTGAGCAATTTCTGTTGTGGCCTTGAGGTTTTCCAACAATTTTTTCTTTAACTCCTTAATCCGACCAAACCTCCTTCCATATCCGGTTAATATGGTGGTTGAGGTGTGATTGCGGTTTTGTTTTCCTACAATTCCGGACGTTTTCTTCGTATTGCTTCTCGCAAACGAGGCATAACACAATTACTTTTTATTGAACGTACGAACTTGTGCTAAGATGTCTTGATGTACTACGTCACGATAATGAAGAAATACAGTAATTGATTTGGACGTCATAACCATATACCTATGATTCGTTAGCAGTTATGACCTTTTTGAGTCTATCAAGATCATCATTGACCTCGTTTAATAGCTCTTCTTTCAACACCATTTGTTTCAATGCTTTCATCAATTATATTATATATACATAATATATTCATTATTATATTATATCAATTATAGAACGAAATTCGTCATCTGCGTCTTCTCCGCCATCTTGGAACAGTTTGTAAGACATTTTTTTTTGCTCAAAGTAGATTACATTTTTTACACAAAATGTTATGCAAACTCTTTATACTTAGCTCGCCCAATTACAAAAGTCACACTTTTATAAAACTTCTGGATTCCTCCTGCGTCGGTTTTTGTTGACTCGAACTAGCTAATGTTTCGCTAATCATCCTGTTGGCTTCTTCAGAGCATGACTGAAACTGGCTCTCATTTTACTCTGTACCTGCTTATATATTGTTTAAGGGGGGCGGAGCTACAAGTGGGGCATAAGCACCGTCTCGGATAATTAATTCCCATATTGGTGATAGGTAAAGACCCGAGTCGCGGTTAAGATTGTTGGGTTGCTTATAGATTTCTATAGACTCTCGGATTTTTCGTTGGTAGATGAATTGATTACAGGCAAGAATTTTAGTTTTATCCAATAAAATTTTATGTCCGGTTTCGTGATTGTGTTCGGCAACAGCTGATGAGTTTATTTGTCTTAGTCTTAAGACCCTTCATGTTCTTTGAGACTAGTTTTCTTTGCCTCATATGCATGGAATGCTGTAAACTCCTGGCATCTCAAATGGAATTTTGTCTTTGACAGATCGAAGATGTTGAGAGATTTTTGGACAAGTGGTGAGTCTGGTTTTGTCGTTATATTTCTTTAGAACTTGTGTGATATGTGATCAGTGATGTTTTGAATATAAGGAAGGACAACAGTGGTAAGTGTCGGATTGTTTTAGATTTCATTGCTATTGGAAGGTTGTATTGGCGAATTGTATTTTGTGATGGAACGCTTAATATCTTTTATGTGGAAATTATTAGAGAGAAGAGCAGCTATTTTAATTCTGGGTGCAATGACTCGAACTGAGATGGTTTTACGGCTCTGTAAACAAGAGAGTTGATAACCGATGATTTTTGGGCCGGATGGTGATGTGACAATGCATTAAGGTATCGTGTGCGTAGGTTTTCTGTAAACACAATGACCCAATGTTAGGTCTGATTTTCTTTTGATAAGAATATCTAAGAATGGGAGGTTCTTATTAGTTTCTATTTCAATGGTGAAACGTGTGTTAGGGCGTATAGAGTTTAAATGTCTAAGAAAGTTTACTAGAGATTCCTGACCGTGAGGCCAAATAACAAAACTATCATCGACGTAGCGTTTCCATAATCTTGATTTTAAATGGAAGGTGTAGAGAGCTTTTTTCTCAAAGGCTTAAATATATATTGCTATGACTGGTGATAGTGGAGAACCAATAGCTGTTCCCGACGTTTGTTCAAAAATTTGACCAATATAAGGAAAACATGTTCCACACAAATATATTTCAAATAAGGTGAGAAGGTTTGGTTCCAGATTCTCCAATTTTAATATATCTGAAATGATCGTGAGAGTTTCAGGAACAGGAACTTTAGTAAAGAGGGATGCTATGTCGAAACTAACCATGATATCTTGTTCATCTAATGCAATGCTTTTTATTTGTTCAATGAAGTGAACGGAATTAAGTACGGAAATGTCAGTTTTCCTTGTAAAGAGTTTTAATAAGGAAGCTAGATATTTTGTTAGAGAATATGTTGGAGAACTAATGATGCTGACAATAGGTCGAAGGGGTAATCCTAGTTTGTGAATCTTTAGGAGTCCATAGAGACGAGGAATTTTGGAGTCATGAGGGGTGACAGATTTTTTCACGGAGTCTGATAGAGAAGAAGTCTTAGTGATAGATTTAAGGATGCGTTTCATGGATGACGTAGGATCTTTTTTAAGTCTGTAAGAATATCCGGAATCACTGTAGCATTTTCTTTATCTGCTTTTAGGATTACGATTTCGAGATTAGATTTTAGAGGTATGTTCACAAAGTAAGGTGATTTTTGTAAGTGGGTGGGCTAAGTATATTCAATCTTCGATATTTTTTTGTTATGTTGGTACACGTGTCCCTAACATATGTTCACAGTTTCAGTCAGTTTGCACGTTTATTTTTTTTGTGAGACAGAAGCGTTGGATGTGTTTTGCGTGCTTGGCGATTTTCTGCTGTAAAAAAATTTGGAACAAAGAATTTGCATAAAATTGTATGTAGAAAATGAAATACAGTGCTGCAAAACACTTGAAATGTTGACAACGGCATATGGTGCATCTACTTTGAGCAAAAAAAATAGTTTAAAAGTTTTACAAGCTGTTCCAAGATGGCCGAGAAGACGCCGATCACGAAACTCGCTCTGAACGCCCCAGCATGTCAATAACTCATGAAAGCGTTGAAGAAGTATAGCAAATGGTGTTGAAAAATCGTTTACTTATTACTGAATTACTATTCGAGAAGTGGCTGAAGACGTCGGCATCTCTATTGGAGCGTACCATGAATTTTTTTCCGAAATTTGGGCATGAAACGCATAGCAGCAAAATTGAAGGACCATCGCTCAAGAGCTGCTAAACGATATGAATGACGAATCATGGATATATAGTTAGGACGTCAAAACCAAAGCCCAGTCGTTCCTATGGAAGAAACCAAGACCGAAAAAGGCACGTAAAGTTCGATCAAATGTTGCTTACTGCTTTCTTTGATTATCGTGGCGTAGTATATCAAGAGTTCCTACCACAAATCATGCATTTTACATCATGCATCTGCTCTCTCATCGTTGCTTGTGTCTAACCTTTTGGTCAAAAACAAAATCACAAACGTACCTGAGCCACCCGAGAACTGGAAAAAGTGTAGTATATCTTGGTGTGGGGGAGGGGAGTAACTTTGAAGGGGACAATATTAATTTTAATAAATAAATACTTTTTGATAAAACTCAAAGGTCGGCTTACTTTTTGAGGCCACCTCGAATGCAGACTGCTTTTTTAACAAAAATTGAGACACCCTGTATATTCCATCTAAAAATAGTGTGCCAGGAAAGAATTCCTGAGTCCTTCCAGAAACTATATGGAAAAGTTTGATATTCAGTTCATTTAAAGCAAGTAATTATTAAGATTTCTTCAAAGGTCCAAAATGCCTAAAAATCTAGCAAATTATTTCCTGAAATGATATACAGAGGGTACCATTTTAACTATGCAAGATGTTGCCATGTTTATATATGAGCAGTAATACTGGCATACTCAAAAATATATATCTAGTAGCTATATATGCAGAACAAATTCAAAGTGAATAACACAGAATAGAAAAACTTTTTACCTATTAGTTGTTTTAATCAACGAAGTAAGAATTGAACTCCTACGAAACCTAACAATTCAACTGAACATTTGAAAGTTATTTGTCTTTGCCAATTTTATAATTTCATATTTCTGAAATGATTTCTTTTATCACATCATATTAACATAAAAATGTTAATATTAATAAAATTTAATTTTCAGTTATCTTTGGTTGTTTCCGTTCTTTAATAGGCACGAACGGAGCGAGTGTTTAATGACCGAGTGACTTAAAAAGTTTGTCGAACGTGTTGCATACTATACTTTTTCTACGACCGCTAGTCTTTGGGTACATTTTCGCAAAACAACACGAATACATTCACTGACATGACCGTCAGAATTGACAAACGTCAAAATTCAAAGCGTGGGAAATATCTCCGAAAACATCCGATTGCTACCAATCCTGTGCGGTATAGTTCCGGAAATGTCCGAAGTGGCTCGAACCTGTGGGAAATGAAACTGACGGGGTAAAGTGACGCTTCCCGCACGCTAGTAGAGTAGCTATTTGTATATTATGCAACAAGTGCGGTAAACGACATTTGACTCATGAGTTTATTTGACACGAGCGGAGCGAGTGCTTAATAAACTTAACTTAAATTATAAATGTCACTTTATTTACCGACTAGTCCACTAGATTTTAATTGTAGTTAATAGTACGTAGTATTTAAATTGTCTGATATATTACCCCTTTATTCAAGACTAAAAGGAATAGTTACTACACATACCATAAAACAATTATTTGATAATAATGATGATATAATACGCTAAATTAACATATTGCTAAAGATGACTTTTTTTCTTGCAGACTGAACTCTCTCACAACCTGCAACAGTTGTCCGAACGAGCGAGATCTACTACGGAATTCATTCAGCGACTCAAAGGGATGAGCGATAAAGTTAACGTAAGTTCTTTCATATTTTTTATCAGCTTGGCCGTTAGGTCCGATAAACTGTATTGTCGAGAGAAAGCGAGGAGCTTATTCTTGAACCAGAAGCGCGTAAAAGTGCTTTTGTTGTAAATCAGATAAAACGCCGCGTTGGACCCTATCGGAACTCTTGAAACTGCCAGAATTTAAATATGAAAACTTTGTTCCCAAACGTATTTCTCCGGAAGCCGTCTCAGAGTTTTATTTATCTCAAATCTCAACAAGTACTCAAAGTTCAGCAAAATTGGATTCTTGGCAATAATAAGTTCAATATTTCAGATACACACACGCGCACGGAAGCACCAGAATATTTTTAGGTCAAAAAACTCTTCAAAGTAATCGTCACAGATTATACGCTAACGATAAATGCTCATGACTGTAATAATGCCATTTATCTGCTCGTAGGCATTTTTGGGCCAATAAGTCAAACCCTTCCGGGGTAGCAGTAATGAAATTAAAACACAAAATACAGGAATATATTCTGCTTTATTGCGTACTGTATAATTGCTATTATATAAATAATAAATACATATAATAGAATAGTTAAAATATGTCCTATCACTACCATCTAAGGAATAATTAATAGTTTTAAGTTGCCCCAAGTTAATCTATGGTATTAATTTACACTGTATTTTAATTACATCAATAACCTGGCCGAGAATTCTTGGGGTCATATAAGATTCAAATAGCAGTGGTGGTGGTGAACTAAGGCATATACGAGGTGTGTTGAAAAAGTAAGGTGACTTTTAAGTGTTATCGAAAAGTAATATCCCCAGATATAATACCTCGTATTACCGATTTTTTTATGATCTCTTCAACGAAATAAGTTTTGTCACACTATTTTGCTGCTGATCGTTGGGAGTTTCTCAGCTGAAGTGCTGCGATAACTGGCATTCTCATAAACTATTTCGCTGCCCGGTTTTACAAAAACTCCACCCGTCATGTTCTGACGGTGGTCTAACTTTCACTCAAGCCACAATGTAAAATCGATTTCCTTTTTCCTCTAGATACTGTATGATTATCGGCATACTATATCCATATTTACTTCACATTTTTGATATAAACTGTTGAGATCCGCAAAAAATTCTTCGGTCGAAAAAAATTTGAACCGTTTGCTCCTGCTTTAAACAACGTACTACACAAACCTCTCTCATTTCTACTCTACTACTACTACTTTTAACTTACTCCGAGGTTATCCTTAAAATAGTTAAATTAATTACAGTGATATAATGAATTTCCTGTATTCAGTCGCATTAAGCAATGTTATTCCGTACAATAAGATAATCAGCGGTTCGGACATACCTAATATAATATATAATATTTATATAAAGTTGCTCTCGTTGTAGATTAATAAAAAACGAGCAACAACTTACTTTTTACAAAATTTCTGGATTCCTCCTGCGTCGGTCGCAATTGCTGACGTTTCGCCAATCATCTGTTGGTTTCTTCAGAGCTTGACTGAAACTGACTCGTATTTTACTCTGTACCTGCTTATATATTTTTTGAGGGAAGCGGAGCTAATTGAAGGGCATAAACACTGTCTCGGATAACTGATTCCCAAATTGGTGACCTTAATGCATGGTCACATCACCATCCGGCCCATAAATCTTCGGTTATCAACTCTCTTGTTTACAGAGCAGTAAAACTATCTCAGCTCGAGTCACTGAAAACAGAAACACCTTACCTCTGGTCTTCTCTCTAATAATTTCCACATAAAAGATATTAAACCTTCCATTAAAAAATACACTTCACCACTACCTTCCAAGAGCAATGAGGCCGAAAGCAATCTTACACTTGCAACTGTGGTCCTTCCTGACATTAAAAACATCACTGACCACATATCAAAAGTTCTAAAGAAATATGACATCAAAACCAGATTTAGCACTTGTCCAAAACTCTCTCAACATCTTCGATCCGTCAAAGACAAAATTCCATTTCAGATGCCAGGAGTTTACAGCATTCCCTGCATTTACGGCAAACAATACATTAGAGAGACCGGACGAAAAATATCAACTAGGTTCAAAGAACATGAAAGAGCCGTAAGACTATGACAAATAAACTCATCCGCAATTGCCGAAAACAATCACGAAATCAGACATAAAAATTTTATTCGAGAAAACTAAAATTCTTGCATGTAATCAGTTCTACCAACGCGAAATCCGAGAGTCTATAGAATTTTATAAACAACCTAACAATCTTAACCGCGACTCAGGTCTCTACCTGTCACCAATATGGGAATCAGTCATCCGAGACGGCGTTGATGCCCCTCATTTAGCTCTGCCCCCCTCAAACAATATATAAGCAGGTACAGAGTAAAATACGAGCCAGTTTCAGTCAAGCTCTGAAGAAGCCAACAGGATGATTGGCGCGAAACGTCAGCAATTTCGACTTAGCAAAAACCGACGCAGGAGGAATCCAGAAGTTGTGTAAAAAGTATTACAGCAGCCTGTGGAAGTTTCTTTGAAAAAAAAAAGAGTAACAACTTGGTTTCTTTTGCATTATATTATTAGTAGCCAGAGATAACACAACAGCCAACTTGTATGTTATTATTATTATTGTTATTAGTATTAACATTATATTGTCTATAACCTTAACATCTAGCACAGAATGGATTCTCCTTCTGTTCTTTGCTATTCTGCAACGGGGGCACATTACCGACCAGTTGTTACTCGAAGGTTCGAGAGTTTTATAAACGTAAGGCATGGGCAATAAGAAAGCCTTAGGAATGGATTCCATATTATTCATAGAAAATATGGCAGGTATCAAAGAAATAGAAGAGGGAACATAAGAATTTATCAAATCTCTATAAAGGGATTGAGAGTAGTGATATTTTCTTTTCTGGTGAAGCTACACTTTAACCGGAGGATCGGCGTGAAAGCTGGTATGAATTCTATTTTTGTAAGATCTCATTTTTCTCCATCTTAAGGACCAAGAAATCCATAGATTATTTTTAACAACTCTAAAAAATTCAAAAGTGGGGTTTTAATTCCAATGGGTCCTTCTCTCTAGCTTAGTTGGCCACCTAATCCACAATTTCGTTATTTCTAATACAGAATGTCTATCGCACTTACAACTTTACCAATCTTTGATCACAGACCATAACCCAAAGGATACATTAAACAAACAAAATATTAATTATTTGAGAAGTTTTGATGTGAATTGTTTCTAAGAAAATCTCCTTGGCATCAAATAGTTGAGCAATGACCTAAATACAAAACTTTATTATTGTTCGTTGATTAGCTGATGGTTAAAATGTTGACGAGAGTGGCCCTATTGAACCACGAACTCATAAACCGAGCTTTAGTGCTGAAGAGGTAAATGAATGCTTTTTTGAGTTAAATACCATTTTCTATCGAACATGTTGGCATTTGTCGTTAAAACTTCAACACAAAGCTAAAAAACGCAAAAACAACGGCACAGTTGCATCGAAACAGATATTGCGATTGTGTCGAAAATATTACGACAATGGAGTGATAGGACGTTTCGAATTGGACAGTGACAAAGGGAGTCGGACGTTCGTCAAATCCGATAACGAAACTTCGTAATTAATGGAAAATGGAACGAATGGATAACTTTTCCCCGCATTCAAAAAACTTTTGTAATTATTCAAATAAAAAATGTCTCGTTAGTTTACGTACCGCATATCGAAAGGCTCGCTAGGAACGCGTGAACTTTGGATTTGAGGTATTAAAAAGTTTAAAGGATATTTAGACAGTTTTGTTTAACGACTCCTGGATAAGCATTGCGATCACTTTAAAAATACTTGTCACAGAGTTAAAATATTTATTTATTTATAACAATATCTAAACAGTATTGCTTCTGCATTAATCCTGCGTTGGTCCTGTTCACTTCTTCAAAGCTTAACTGAAACTGACTGATTGTTTCAGTTTATCTACGAAGTTTAGTTGAAATTAAAGTTGTTAAAGGATTTCAATGGATTCTCGAATTTTTAGTTGCTATAAGTGATTGCATGCTAAAATTTTAGTTTATTCTGGTTGCAAGAGCAGCAAATCGACAGAACTGATACTCAATAATCCGGTCGAGAGGAAAAACCAGTTGCTTTAAGTTGAATTTGAAATCGTTTAAAAGTTTCTATGGATTCTCGGATTTTTCGTTGGTCGAAAAATTGATTAGATGCTAGAATTTTAGTTTGGTTAGTTGATGTCCGGATCCATGAGTAGACATATCAGCGGAACTGACTGTCAATAAGTATTTTATGCAAATGGAAAACCATCACGACGTCCATAGGAGATGTGGCCAGCTTTAGGACCACCAGGGATTGTCCACAAGGCGGCATGTTCTCCCCCCTTCCATGGTGGACAACCTACTGGGTATCACATCACTATAGTGGGAGCACATCGATCGCTTTGGACATGCGGGAGTGTTTGTGGCAAAACCTGGGGCATGGGTTCTAAACAGATATACCTGCTATACACGATATTCATTAGGCCTATCATAGCGTATAGTCTGGTGGCACAAGGAACAGCAACCCAGGCGGAAATTGCTATGCTGCAAAGGCAGCGGCTTCATCGACAGCTGTGGAGGGTTGACATTTATGGGGAGCACCAAAGGACCAAACTATCAACCAACGTATTTCAAGAAAGCTCCGCAAGGATACTGGAAAATAAGCAACTTGTGCCACAAGGAATTAATATATTTTCCGACGGCTCATAGCGCCTCTAAGACTGTAAGAACTTGGGAAGGGAAGGGAACAATAACATAAATACCACGACATAGTGGATTAACATGTAAACTTCCTAGCAAGGATGGGAGGGGAGACACCACCATCAAGTCCACAGTTGAGGTGTCCACACGAGAGCTGAATCTGATGGGGGAATAAATAGTGATTTTTTTGGCAACTGCGTATGAGTTCATTTGTCTTAAGGTTTTTCATGTTCGTTTAGCCTAGTTGATATTTTTGTCCTATTTCTCACTGCATTTCTGTAGTGGAAAGCTTAATATATTTAATGCGGAAATTATTTGAGACAGTTTTATGACTTCATAAAAGAAAGTTGATAACCGCTGATTTCTCGACTGGATGGTGATGCGCCAATGCATATTTTCTATTGATAAGAATATCTAAAAATGGAATTCTTGATTACGAGGCCAAATAACGAAAGTATCATCAATCCAGGAGAGAACCCATAACTGTTCATGATATTTGTTGATAAATTTGACCATTACAGGAAAAATAAGTTCCCGATAAACATTTTTCAATTTAGATGAGAAGATTTAATTACAAACTCTGTGAAAATATTTAAAATATCTGGAAAAAAAATGTAATGTTTTTTAATTGCTGAATGAAGTGAAAGGAATTAACTACGAATCTACCAGTTTTTCTTGTAAAGGGTTTTAATATAGGTGCTAACAGTAGGTCGATAGGGTGTTCCTGGGAAGTCAGTAGAAACGAGGAATTTTGGAGGCAAAGCGAGTGACAGATTTTTCATGCATTCTAATAGAAAAAAACCTTTAATAGCTGCCTTAAGGTTCCCATCCATAGATACCACAACAACTTTTTTAAGTTGACTATAGGATCTGTTTGTTAGAATATCTTGAATTGTTTCTTGGTAGTGGGATGACTGACAATCCGTGGCAAATTCGATTCATCAACAATCAACAGTCTTGGATTTGTAATTGAAACTAGTTTAGCGGGCTGATCTGTAAATAGTGATCTGAAAATTCATCAAAAATATAATGATTATCGATAGATTTAGCTTAACTCTTTAAGTCGAATGCTTTAAGAGTTTTTGTTTCACTAATTATTCAAGCGATATTATTCCTACTTCACATAGTCAGTTCAATAATTATACCTTTACGCATAATAAACATGTCATTGGCAGTGGTATCCCATTCAAGTTAGATTAACTCTGGCCTAACCAGCATTTGCATATAATGCTCTATTGTAAACTTTATTTATTCGCACATAGCTTTGATAGCTTGTTCTCGTGTTGTTTTTACAGGATAATGCTTGAGCATTTTTTAATAACTGTAAGCCTATTCTTACTTTATTTCAGGAGAATTGCGAGGAATTCGAGCAGATTGTGACGGCGCAATGCGAAGCTCTGATCTTGGCGATTCAAGCCAGACGCGACCAGCTGATCGAATGTATCAGACAAGACAAGGAACTAAGAGTGAGAGCGCTCAAGGAACAAGTGGTTACGTGTACATCCAGACTCCAGCAAACCACGGCTCTCCTTCAGTTTTGCATCGAAGCGCTAAAGGAGACAGATAGCTCGGCTTTCTTACAGGTGAAAAATAATAATCGTTGTTAAAAAAAAAATAACTCATAAAAAGACAAACGACAAATATTCAAACCCAAAGATAAAGGGAAGCGATATATCCTCCCGCGAACGGAAACAAATAAAACTTTAAACTCGGGTAGTCTCTGTTTGTTGTTGTCGGTGGGGCTCCCTTTGTCGATATCGGGCCTATCTTGCTGGCAGCAATTTGCACGCTGACAAACTGCTAATTACTTTTTAGGTCGGTTCGATGCTGATAAGCCGCGTTGCAAACACGGACAACTCATGGCACAAAGAATGGTCAGCGCCCCGAGTCTCACCCCATTTCGATCTCACCCTGGACGATAAATCTGTACTGAAAGCCATCGAACAGCTCAACTTTATCCAAATGAAACGTAAGCGTAGTTAATATTAGTTACTTACATTCTCACTATTGAACACATATGCTCGTTAGCTCGGCGTTAAAGTCGGCGTTCAACAACTGACGGACCAGAGTTCGATCCTCGGTGGGCGCGAAAACAAAAAAAAGATTAGTCACGTGATTAAAATAAGTCTCTCAATCGGTCTTATTTTCTGGATGACGACTTTATACCAAGTTTAACAGAATAAATAAATGTCATTGGCGGTTAATTTTGAAATATACAGTGAACTGCAAAAATATGGAAGAAATTCATTTAAAAATCAGCTGTGGGATTTCAGGAAAAATGCTCGCACGTGCATCGTAATATTTTTCTTGCTCGTGTCTTGCTGTAAACAGAAAATGTACGGGGTTGGTAAAAAAGACTAAAAACATGAATTTGATTTTGAGATGGACGGGTAAGTAGCTCGTCCCAGTAAAGTTCTTAAACCGTCGCAATTACATTTCTATCAGTAAAAAAAGAGAATACTAAATCTAAATCTAAATGAAATCAAGAGAATCGAAACTTTAATTTTTATTGGATAGGGGCACAATACGAAAACTCATGAGGAAGTTTGTAATTTGCTTTTCGCAAAATGTTCAGAAACACCAGTTACAAGATTCACAGTGAGCAAAATTGGGAGAAAATTTATTGAAACAGAGCATCTAACATATCGTCTAATCCCAGATCATCCAAAAATTCATGTTATCCTTTTTATTAGAAGAATATTATGAATAGAAGATGACATTACGACCGACGAATTGAACGAACATAATCCAGACTGCAGAATACTACGTAACGAAAATCCATTTTTTCACCGTCAGATACTGTTTGATGATGAAGCCAGGGTTTTTTAAATCTCACGGTAAAAAAAACAAATTGAGATAAAATCATTTACAACATCCACTAAAAACAAATATGTTTGGGCCGGGATTTTGGCTAGACTAATGCGTGAATAAGGTCTCCAGATGTTCCTCCACTGTATTTTTTCCTCTAGAAGTATTTAAGATAAAAAGTGTGTAGGTAGAAACCACAAAATGTGTATGATTTAAAATTTAGAACCAGATACGAAATTAGGCAAATTTTTCGACACCCGATACAATTTTCTCCCAATTTTACTCACTAGTGGATCGTATAATGAGTCTTTCTTGATATTTTGTGTTCAATAAATTACAAAGTTGATGAGTTCTCGTTTTTTCCGCATTTGTTTTAGTGACAGAAATGTAATTGTGACGATTTAAGAACTTTACTGGTACTAGCAACTGTCAGAATTAAATTTCAAAATTAAATTAAATTGCTCCTAACAAGTAAGAGATAGCTACATGAAATTTGACGCAGAATTTGAAAATGGATTCGAAAAAATCGTATTCCGTAAAAAAAGAAACTTGATATCAACCTTTTGACCCACTCGGTATATTTTCTGTTGTTCCATATTTTAACAGTTCATTGTACATCTACTTACGAGATGTAATTGATTAGTATAATGGCTAAAAGTTAATAGCAGTACTGCCATCTGAGTTTGTTCTCAGATGTCCTTGAGTTCGTTATCTGAGAGAGAAAGAATTCGGGTTTTTACCCAGCGATGGGTTTCAAATTTAATTCCTTCTGGAATATTAATAATGAAAAACCCAGTACTAATATCTCATATTATTTCATTGATTCAACGCAGAAATGTTGATAACTCTCTTAATTAATTCTTAAACTGAAGTTCCGAACTTCATACTATACTTTTACATACTATACTTTTTCTTTTGGTTTAATTTTTGCAAATCAGCACGTCAACAAACGTCAAAATACACCAATATTGCGAAAATGACTTCAATTTGGTAGTAAATCCATTCGAAACTAAACAACTTTAGATTACCATTAAAAAGAATTTCATTTTACTGCTACTACTACTACTACTACTTAGTTAAGATAATAATCTTCCTCCTCAATAATATTTTTATCTCTGTAGCAGAGTTCATGGTCTGGGTCTTTAAATGCTCTGTGTTTACTTTGAAGTTACTGAATATGGGTTGCAACATTATTCGAAATCCAACTATTATTTCTTCATCAATACCTGTCATTCTTGCAGAAATATCCGAATTTTCAAAAAAAAAACACCTACCTGAATTGTCATCCTTTGTTCTACCAAATCCAGGCTTTGGTGTATCAATTAGCAAACCGAAATCTATTAAAATTAAGACTTGAACTCTTTTTTATATTGCTTGCTGCAGTTTTCTTTAATTTTATTTCTTAGTCAATTTACGTAAAGAATATTTCATAAAAACCACAAATTAAAATAATAACAATAGGAAAATTTCTAAGGTTTGTTTTCTAAAAATATTAATTCTTGTTGGCAAGAGGATAAAAATGATTACAACAAAATTTCCGAATAAAAAATGCGTTTTTTATTTATGGCGAGCCAATTTTTGTGAAAAAATAAAGGTATTAATATAATTTCGAAACACAAATGAGCGAAAGTAATAATTTTTTTTCTCTTAACAAAAAGTAAAAACCAATTTAGTTTTTAAATTTTGTAACTATAAAATAAAATTGTCTATTTCTACACTACTCTATATAGCTTTGGTTTTGGTTAGTTTTGTCCAAAAATTGATTTCAATAAAATAAAGCTTCTTACGATTTCTGGAATAATTTTTTTTTTATTTAAAAAATCGATTTCAACAATCTGCAGCAACAATTTTCTTATATCATATATAATTTATTATTGGTAAAGATATTGGAAGGAAAAGGAAAGTTGTATTAGTCTTCCATCTTAATTTTGGCTGTCAAAATTAATAAAATGAATTGCAGTGTCTTTTGGAAAAAAATGCAAAATGGTAACACTTAAAATTGTCCGAATCGTTGAAAGGTTTAAAAATCTCCCGATACCGTGATTGTGTGATTTGCGTGAAAGCAATTAATAACAATAGAGGCGCGATAGCATTGTTGCCACTCATCCCCGCAGTTCATTTTCGGTTAAACCAGGCCTCGATTGTGCAGTCTACGTCTGCCTCACGCATATGTCGTTTTGATTTGTCTCTTTTGAAACGTTTTGGGAGTTCCATTCTTTGCTGAATACAAAATAATCCCGGGAACGCTTTTAAAACTTCGCTTCGTTTGCCTTTTTGCCGAGAGCTTTTATTAATTTGCTCTAATTAACAATACCTTCTCGTGAATCCAGAAATAATATTTCGTTTAACATCGTTCGCGAATCATTTCGTTCTCTTACATGCGTTTTTTCACAGCGGTCCTGAATCGTAACTTATATTTTTTAAAAATGTCCTTTCATTATTCAGCATACGTAGACGGAGAGGAGAGAGTACCAGCAGGTAAAAGGCATGACGCTGAAACGAGAGCATGTTGTTTTTAATGGGACATATTCAGCATGCTTTTTTTTATTTTACTTCCACAGAAATGTTTGAATTTTATTGGCCCAGGACGACATAGGAACTATTTTGGAGATACAAATTTTTCCCCTACAAAAATAAGAACATACTATATAAAATAATGGTATAAAAATAAGGTGGTGTCTCACATAAGGCGTAATTGTCATAAAAAAAAATTAAATACAAAAATTTTTTTGTTTTATGGAAATTTTTAGATTATTCACTTTTGAATAATAATGGAATGGAATTTTAAGTGCAATGGATAAAAACAAAAACACCTTTCCTATTTGATTTCCGTACAGTTTATTGGTAATTCCGTTCTAACTGTTACTTTTTTACTTATTGAGTTCTAAAATCATAGAAACTTTTTGCACTATTTCATCTTCATCTATTTGAAGTACTTCCAACATGATTAAAGTTATTGAACCAGATTTTAGTGTTAACTTAAAACATCAACCAAGAAAGGATCTTTTTTTTTAGTTTGATCAAAGAAATAAGAATTTATAAGATAATTAGGCACAAAGGCACCTTTCGTATTTGATTTCCGCACAGTTTATTAGTGATTCCGTTCTAACTGTTACTTTTTTACTTATTGAGTTCTAAAATCATAGAAACTCTTTTTGCACTATTTCATCTTCATCTATTTCAAGTACTTCCAACATGATTACAAAAGTTATGGAACCGGATTTTAGTGTTAACTTAAAACATCAACCAAGAAAGATTCATTTTTTTTTTAAATTGATCAAAGAAGAACTTATAAAATAATTAGTTTAAATTTAAAAAAATATGCACGGTACTGACATTTAGCTGATACATTATAGGTTCTCTCTGAATGACAAATTATATTATATAAAAAATATGATGAAATATGTTCATGATCGTGTAATTAAAACAAAAATTGTATAATGCCAATCTTGAAAATAATATACTGGGTATATTAATTTGATAAACATATTTCTTTTTTTTTTCCAAGAAACTTTCACAGGCTACTGTAATATTATTTAAAAATCTACTGATTCCTTCTGTGATAAATGAAAGTTGCCGACGTTTCGCCAATCATTCTGTTGGATTCTTCAGAGCCCAACTAAAACTGATAATAAAATGTTAAAATTAATAACTAGGCTAAGGCATCTTATTAAAAAACGAGTCAGTTGCTTTCATTTAAGTTCCCTTCAAACACTTGCGAAGCAACAAAGTCTGAGGCAGCTAGAACTTTAGTAAGAAAGAGCAGATATTGTGTAAGAAATGAAAATATTAACATAACTACTCAAGTTTTACTAATTGCACTTAAAATTTACACATGAATATTGGAAAAATGGTTAATGATAGTACGGGCAAACTTTACATTCTTAAAACCAGGAAGAGAAATTATTTTCAATTAAATTAAAGCACACTGGGTATTATATTTAAAATAATAATAAAAAATAATAAATTATAATAAAAAATAAATGAATAAAATAAGTGTTTTTTCATATTTTTAAACGCCATTGCCCACCAACGCAAGTCTCATTTTTATCTCCAAGATAGGTCCTTGGAATCTTTAATAATGGATTTTGAAAAAACATTTTTCTCTAGCCTCAAACTATCGATGATTTGTTGCAAATTTTAACCGGAAATTTCCCTCCTCACAGCGCCCGCAGCACCGGCAATAATTCCGGAGGAATGTAGCGCCGAAAATAATTCCGTTACAGTGGCTTGGCAACCGCCCCCGCACAGTCACGTCGAAGGTTACGTTCTAGAACTCGATGACGGCAACGGGGGAGACTTTCGGGTAAGCAAAACTAATACGACGTAACCATCTAGAAGTGTAAGGCAAAGTGGAATTTTCAATATTGGATTATATCTAATTTAAAGGGGGATGCGGATACCGCGCCCGGAGCTTTCTACCGGAACTATGTACTCAGAAATGTCGTTAGCAGAAGTTTCAATCGTAAAGTCTCGTTCAGATGGATATAATACTCAGCAAAGTACAGAAATAATTGTCAAAAATACTCGGAGCACACTTTAAACTACTGACCACTACAAATGTAGACATCTAGCCTTTCTTCAAAAGCAAATAAAAAGCATCGATTTCAATCTTTTCGTTTAAAAATATCGAAAACTATAGTGCCGCTAACTAGGAAGAAGAAGAAGAATATCTTTTCATCATTCTTTCACCACAGTGTAGTAGCTTTTGGTCTACGTACCACTAGAGCTATCACCCCACTAATCTACTTTACAGCTGCAATTAGTTATGGTCTGTTCATCGATATAAGAAAGTGACCCATTGCTTTTGAATGGGATTATCCAAGGGTTGTCATTAACATACAATGCAACAAGATTATTACCTAAAGTTTCGGAATTTAAATTCAGGTAAAATTGTGGTCCGTAATAGAAAATAATTGTGTACCTACCTGTGTTTATTATTCTTTGGTTTGGTATACTACTTAGTTTAAGTTTATTAGTAATCATTCTTATTTCGTGTGTAATACAGCCTGTGTTGAATCGTGTGCGAATTATGCAAAATATGTGCGAATCTAGTGTATCTCAGGAGATGCTCCCACCCAAATGTAGAAAACACTATTCTATTGAGACTAAGGAAATTATAAACAATGTTTATTTGACTCCCATTGAATGTGGTGGCAGCAAGCAAACGTCTTTAGAAGAAACGGCTACATTGACGAAAATTGCAACGTCAACTGTATGGAAAATTGTGAATAATCCCATTTCAGCGAGGAAAAAAAGAAGCGATGCTGACATTTTCTCGAGTGTAGATGGAAGTAATCAAGATATAATACGGCGTAAAATTTTACCAGTTATACGAGGAACAAAGCGTGCCTACATTAGATATCTTAATTAGGAGGCTTGAAAAATATGAAACCGGTGTTAAATGTGGCAGAACTAACTTATGGAAGTGTATTGAACACATGGGTTTTAGATTTAAAAAAATTGACAAAAGGTAAGTTTTAATGGTATTTTTTAGAACTGGAATATCTAGACAAAAATAGGATTTACAGAGAACAACAAAGGCCAATTATTTACTTGGACGAAACCTGGTTCGACACTTATGCACCCCGGAAAAGGCTTGAGTTGACTCAACTGATAAGTGTAAAACAAACGCGCCATCAAAAAGATTTTGCATGCTGGCTCTAAAGATGGTTGGATTCCAAATGGAATTTCTCTGTCTGCAAAAAATATTAAAGATTCTTCTCTGGATTACCATGAAGACACCACCGCTGATTTATTTGAAAGTTAGTTTAAAAACAAACTAGTTCCAAACATTCCTCCTAATAGCGTCATTGTAATGGACAATGCAAGTTATCACAGTAGACAATTGACTAAAACCCCTTCCTCATGTGACACAAAAGCAACAATTCAAAACTACATGTATAATAACACGACATTTATTTTCACGAAAATTATACCAAAAAGCAATTAATTGAGGTTCTACAAAGCTTAAACCTACAAAAGTGTGTGTGGTTGACTCAAGTGATGAGTGTAAAACAAATAATAATAATAATTATGCAAAAAAACTAGGGCACACAGTTTTAAGGTTTCCACCTTACCACTGTATATTTAATCCCATTGAACATGTTTGGCACCAACTGAAATCTGCCATTCATCGAAACAATGTTTTCACCGTGTTAACTCCAATGTCCTCAAACTTGTAGAAACCGAAGTTTTTAACATCCCTCCACAAAGTTGGGCAAATTCTGTTAAACATGTAGAAAAAGCAGACCAATCGTATATCCATATTGCAAATAATATAGAACAAATAATAATTAGAACAGGCGATGATAACAAAAGCGATACTGATATATTATATTAATAATTTTTTATAATTTAAGTAGGTAATAAAAATAATTTATAATTTTATTTTAGATTTCAACATAAGTACATACATAAATTAATAAATATTGTTTAGTATCTTTCCTAACAAAACCCCAAATAATTAAATTCTAAGCAAATTACCGACCTGTTCGGCCATATTTCATTCTTACAGCTTGCCCTGGTCTTTCCTTAATTCGTATCAGTTAGTCACTTTATTATATCTATGAACAGACTTTACTCTTTCTTTACTCTCATCACTTTGCTTTACGCGCCACTACAGTACCCACTGCCCTAATTTAATAATTTACATTTGCAAATATCTACTCTTTCTTTACTAACACGCAAAAAGAAACTGCAATATTTTCCTTTGGAAATATCGAAAACTGGTGATTAGGCCAGCTAAAATCATTGCAACTACAGTTGCTCAAACTTCAGTAGCTCTTGTCATCATTCTAATTGTCATTCTCTCACCACCGTGTGTTCTACTTATCAGTACGGTTTCCCTTCCACTAATTTTCTCTACTGCTGCAAACATATACTCTTTCTTTAGTGGCAGGTAAAAAGTAGCTGCACCCCATTGCAATCTTCTCTTTGATAAATCTATAAAATTAGATGATTTTTGGGTGCCGCTGGCTACAATTTGATTTAGTTTTTATAGCTCTTTTTATTATCCTAATTTTCATTCTCTCATCACATTATAGCAGAATTTACTCTACGTACCACTAATCTACTCTGCAGCAACAATTATTGTCTCTTTATATTATCCTAATTTTCATTCTCTCATCACATTATAGCAGAATTTACTCTACGTACCACTAATCTACTCTGCAGCAACAATTATTGTCTCTTTCTTTAATAGCTGCACTTCCGTTGTAATCTTCTCTTTTGGAAGTAAAAAAACGGTTTAGGTATGTAATATTATTAATAAAAAAAATTGAAGAATTTTAAAAGTAACCAAAATAGAATTTGATGTGATATTCTTGTATTTTTATGTTATATTTATTATTTAACTTTAACTGGAAAGGGAATTTTATTTAATATGTTATTTATTAAATCAAACTCATTTATTAGTATATCAAAACTTTGTACAGAAGGCCAGTAATTAGAAATTGTTTTAGATGTTCCTAATTTGAAAGGCAGTATTTTACATTTGCTTTTTCGAGAATGTTCAAGTCAAAGGAACTAAATATTATTTTATTACAACTTCCATTTGCCTTTTTTATAAACTTAAAAACAAATAATTGAGATCCGACTAGTTTAAATTTCTTCCATTTCCACCTAATTTTCGGTTCAGTTAAAAGCAGTCCAGAACGCGAAAGCAAAAACTCACGGACTTTTTGGCGTGTTCGGCCGCAAAATACGCAAAACCAATTTATTCCGAAACATATTCGTTTTCCGAATGCTCTCCCGTAGCAATATCGAACGCGCCATCCGAACGATAGGATCAATGAGTCAGAGAGAGCTTGCACATGTTGGAATGGGTCATTAATCTTTCTTTGGGGCGACACGTTGATACTACCTTATGACGTCCGTACGCACCCCAGCCGCAATTGGATATTCAGTCGTGAAGTTAATTGCGTTTACGGAAATTAATCGAAAATTAATAGAAAATATAGAATATTTACGTCACCTTCTCTGACAAAAAATGGTGATTTCAAAAATTCGATGCATTTATTTGCATTACGTAAGGTTTTTTTGCAAATATTAAAGAAAAAAAAACGATGTTTCTAATTCTGTAAAACCTGTTATCCTAGGAGCATCACAGCACTTCATACACAATTTATTTCTTATTTTTTCTGTGCGTAATCCTTGAACATTACACGAACAAAAATAACAATCATCACATCACATCACAAGCACATACTCTGCCCTACTACGACATAACTACCACAGATATATGAATTGTTCACACACACTGTCCATATTTATACGTTATAGAACTCTAGAAATACACAACAACGAAGACAACAGCCGCGAACGCCGTAGCGCGACGACCAATACAACCAAACTGCGCATAAGCAGGTGACAACGCTGTACTGACGTTTCTGCACCAACTCTGTCGTAAAAATCAATTCATTTAAAAGTCATGCCTAACATGAAACAAACATATTCATGTCATAGCTATGTATATTAATAAAATAACATTTTTGAGTTATAGAGCGCTATAAAAAAAAGACGGAAAATGAAAAGACAAAATTACATTCACTATTAAACAACTTCAATATTCTTCAATAGTTTGGACACGTCATGCGCAATAACGAATACCATGTATTACAACTAAAGATACAAATCAAAGTGGAAAGTAAAAGAAGACCAAGCAGAACAAAAAGTTAGAAAAGTTAAACTTGCCATGTTGGTTGTCAAAGACCGCAAGGGATAGGGCACACGAAGAAGAAGAATGAATGGATAGCGCACACGTTTTATCTTCTTCATCTGGAAGAAATTGCTGCTCATGCCTCATCCCCTTCCACAGAAACCACCACATGGAAAAAAATGTTGAAATATATTCAAAGAAGTGCTCTAAAATCTTTAGAAATCTTCAGATATATGTAAATGAAATACTGGTTGGTACAACTTGTTTTAATTGTAAGTATTCCCAATTTATGCTGTCGATTTTTTTACCTGAAATTGCGTTTCAATAAATTCTTTATTAATTTAAAGGACAAACCAGTTCTCCGTGTATATGAAGAAGGTTCAAGAATCGTACATGAACACGAATGGCCAATCGTTTTTGTTATTTAATACTTGACATTATATTTAAAAAAGTTTCGAATATGATGATATATGTATGTTCACATTAATCACGGGTTGTCAAATCTCCTTTGGTTTCAATACAATTGTGCTTTTGTTGTTGATTTCCGGCTTGGTTTGGTTGAAACCCTCTTGTGGTCTACCTAGAAGATTGCTTGCAAATTACGCTTTTTTTATAGCTATGCGAGTTTTTTAATACAAGAAAGTAAC